CTCACGGCTAAATGATATGGCAAAATCATTTCATGCAGATTTTTTTCGACCCCAAGATATGGTTCGTGGGCCTCAGTTTGAGACTGGACTGCACCGCACTATGGCACCAAACCAAAGTTCTCGGTGGAACGAGCCTTATGTATCATTTGGCTGTGTGTTCAGTGAACCTTACCTGTCCATACTGGTTCATGTCTTTATTCTGCGTCTCCTGTAGCGCCGCCACGGTGGCTGTTGCGGTGGCAGTCGCCGTTGCTGCAGCTGCAGCGACGGCGGCGGCAGCGGCGGCGGCGGCCGGCTGCGTGAAGTCGCCGGATGGACGCGTGTGGGAGGCCATGCCCATCCCTCCGGGGGGCGGGTTGGGCCCTCCAGAGTAACTGTAGGAAAAGGTGTGTGTCAGGGTTGGAATAGTTTGCAATTTTTCATTGTTGTTAGTTTAAATTTTGAGATTTTCATTTTTTTTTTGGGGGGGGGGGCTGTCCACTGTCCCTGAAAGGGTTAATAAAAGACATTTAAAAACAATTATGGTTAAATTTATGTCGCTTTTATAATTCAATGTAAGAGTTTATGGGATACAAGTAAGGGGCTTTTAAAAATGGTTTCATTTAAAATATTAAAAAATATATAAATATTATTCGCATTTGGACCTTACATACATATACTGTATATATATTTTTGATATAATTCAATTTGATTAAAATGTTTAAATAGCTAAGCATTAAATAGCTAAGCATTTGTATATAATCATATCATATATTGCAGTCTATACAGGGAAAAATACACGTTTAAAAAGCAAGCTTTTGTTTGTCACAGTCCAGCTAAGGATTTATTTTGTTATTGCATGGCGGGCAGCATCAGTGCTCCCACGGGCCCTCCTGGAAAGAGGATGCGACTGACTCAGCCTCTTTCTTACCTGCTGCTGTATCCTCCAGGTCCTCCGGGGTATGCGGGCCTGCTGTACATCCCCTGCTGCATGTACTGCTGGTTGGAGCCACCTTTGCTGGGGAACTGCTGCTGCTGGGCGCTGAACTGGGGAGAGTTGAGCCCCCCTGCGCTGGCTGACATTCCCGACGCCATGGGGTTACCCCCGGGATTCATGGGATTATTGCTGTTGGCCATTGGGTTCCCCAGAACCTGGATTGAATCCGAAGGAAATCATGATTGTTTTGTGAAAGCAAGACAGAAGAAGTGAGGCGAACGTGCAGGGGACCTACCTGGCTCTGTGATGTGTTGGTGACGCCCCAAACTGTTGTAACCACAGACAATGACCCAGGGGGCTGGTTAGTGTTTTGTTGCCAGGGGACAGAGTCGTAGGGAAAAGAGCCATCGCTGGAGAATAGATAACACAAACCTAATATTACTGTCAATTTCAAATAGACTTATTCTTGTTAATAAAAAAGAACAAAACAATAATTATTCAATATGTCGATCAACTTCAGTTCACACACACACACACACACACACACACACACACACACACACACACACACACACACACACACACACATTTTTCTATACAACAACAACATGCGT